AAAAAAAAAAAAAAAAAAAAAAATGCGTTTTTTTTTTTTGCAATTTCGTTGGATTTCGCTTATACCCCCCCCCACCAAAAGTTCATCTTTTTCGTTTTTTTTTGTGTGGGGGGGTGGGGCAGAAAATGCGCCGCCATGTGGCGCCGCCAGATTTGTGAAACCTTCTGCCCTGCTGCCGCCACGTGTCCGCGAATCCGCGCGTCCACGCGGACACGTCCGCGGGCTTCGCGGACTGGCCGTGGCCGTGGACTTGGCCGCGCCTGTCCGCCACCGGGGGGGATACATAGCCTTAGCGAGCGCACTGGGAATTGAGCTCGACAGTTAGGAATTCCGGAATAAGCGGAACCCGACGTGTCTTTTTCCTTGCATGAATGTTCTCAGTCACAACGGAGAAAACTCTAGGAATTTTGTGAGAATACGGACAAGCACAGGACTTTCTTTTCCCGCGTCGACTTTCGCACGCGGATATGGTGATTTCAATTTTCGAATTGGTTTAGGACATAGGCAAGCTGTAACTGTTTTGGTGCCTTTTTCTCTTGCTGTCGACGCCGCGCATGTGAGCTTCCTCCTCCTTATTTCCCGCGTCCTTCTTCCCCCCTGCTCTCTTCTCTCTCTCTCCCTTCTCCTTCCTCTTCTTCTCCTATCGCAACTGTTTTTCCCTCTCTCTACTCTTTGCGCACTTGTTTTCCCTTCTTGATCATCTGAATCTTGGACCTGTTTTGCACTACTTTTCGCGCCTTTTTCCTTCTCGATCTTCGACCTTGGCTCACGTAGCCCGGTTGATCCTTTGATTACCCCCGCTCACCAATCAGACGCATTCAACAAGAGGATCTTCCTGTTGCGTGACGAATCTGATTGGCTGAACATTGAGTTCCCTTGAGCATCCCTCGTTGAATCTTCTCCTCTTACACCTCAATTTCTCCTCTGTCTTCTCCCCCGTCTGTCTTCTTTTTCGCAACTATAAATTCCGCAAGCGCGCCCGCAAGGCTCTCTTACGTTTTCCACTCACAAGCCAGCTTCCAGGAAGTAGTGGCTAGGTGATGCGTTTGGTGCGAGTCAAAAAGTCATGTCGGGCTGACTGTACGCTGGCCGGTTGCGCGCTTGATCGCCACGACGGACTGTGGGATTCGAGCGAACCGAGTCGAGTTTGCGTCAGCGGGGTGACGATCGCAGTGGCGGAAGTTAGCACGCGACGATCGGGATCGTCGAAGCGGGTATGAGGATCAATAATTAGAGTTGAGTGGATGATTGGCCCGGGGCTATATTGGAATTTCACGGCGAATGCGCCTTCATGGTTGCGGATCATTTTTTTGGTATGAGTTCATGGCTGTGAAGCCGAACGTTCCCTTGTCGGATTCCGGTGTCTCCTATCTCAACATTTCTCGTCTATCTCTCCCATCTCTCTCTCTCTCTCTCTCTGACTTGAATGATGATGTGTTATGAGCTTGTTTCTCCTGTGAACCGAAGTGAACTCTTGTGATTGCCTGCGAAGGAGAACTTATTCCAGAACTCTTCCATTAGTTTCCTGGCTAATCCCCGGATGCAAAGGAACTCTATCATCTTGCCTTGTGAACGGTGGATGCGTGTGTACAATCCCCCGATTTATTTCTGACATGTGCCCCATTATCATTTTCGCACCTTCCACAGTGGATGTACGTATAGAGATGCTAGTATTTTTGCGTTGATTAGACCCAAAGCTTGACGGGATTTTGTTCGAGAATGCAAGAGTGTTTAGATTTGTTGTTTGGAATGCACTGCGCATGCCATCTGCCTTATGCTGCACGACATCTGCAGACAGTCTATGAGGCAGACGCCTCGGGTTTTGTCAAATCTGGTCTGTTGAAACTGAGTCGCGGGTTGATCTCTCGAAACTTCAACCCGATTACTGCATGGTTGTACGAACTCTGTAACATGCTTCTCCCGTGTCGAAGGGAAGGAAAATACTAGTTAGTTCTTCTTTCGATTGTGATTGTGTTTTTTTTTATGACGTCTAGGGGTTTTTTACAAACTCGTTTTGATTGATTGATATGTGGAATGACGGCGGCAACTCGATCGGGCGCCAGCATCCCGTATCTCCCTTGCCAACGCGCCCCTTC